TTCAGGAGAAAGTGCCACTTGGCTGGAAGATAAAAAAAAGTATCACTTGCAGGCTTATATAAACAGTCACAGTTAGAACTGTTGGCAGGGAACAAGCTGCTTGCCAGAGATTTTGGAAACTGTCAGAGAGTATTTTTAAGCCACCTTTGTGCAAGTTGAAAGTCAGGCAGAGAAGTACTGTACTACTGTACTGATGCGGCATTCACCCTGGACGGATTGAGCCGGCTTCTTCCTGTAATGAGAAGAAGATTCTTGGAATAAATTACAGAAGTAGGGTACCCAGGCCTACTTGGATAACGTTCTTGCTTGCCGTGGGGGTTCCCACAGACGAGAGACAGGAACAACCAGAAGCCGCCGGTTACCGATACAGACGCCTTGGATTTTCACCAGAGCCCTTGTTAGCCAGCGTGTGTCAGACCTGTCTGCCTTGGTGGCCTTACCAGGAACGAAGTTCCGGGCGGCATAGCTCTGACACTACTGTTTACACCCCCCCACACCGACTGTGAGGTAAGGGTTGGACTTTTGGGGGCTTACAGTACCAGGTGTTCCCAAGCGGTCCCCCATCTAAGTACTGACCTGGCTCTATGCTGCTTAACTTCGGTGATCGTACGAGAACCTGTGTTTCAGCGTGATTTGACCGTAATAGGCAGAGAAGTGGTAGGAGGTAGAGTCAGAGTTCTTGCTGGTCGAACGGTAAAGTTGATCTGTTAGTCTGTCATGACAAAGATAGCAGAAGTTATCCTAAATATCACCTATCTACCCTTGTCATTTCTCACCTTAGCTTTAATCACAACTTTTGTTTCCTTGTGAATGTACAATGAGCATTTCCCAGTTTTTGTAAACAATATAAACAAGGCATAGAGACACAAATGTGAGGTTATTTGTCTGCTCAGTGAAATTCAGAGAGGAGGACCAAATCTATTGCAGGTTTACACTTATATTAATGACATAAAATATTTCCCTTAAATTTTAATTAAAATAAACCATTCTAATAATTTTCATACTGTAGGTTTGTATTTCAATAAGACAAAAATAAATTTAAAAAAAAAAATTGTTTGATTTTTTTCCCCTTTTTTTGCTATGAACACATAAGAAAGGGGTATTACAATTCTAAAAATTCTAATTTTCCATTTCTGAATAACAAGCATAAGAAAATAATCTGAAAATGTATGAAGTAAATTAAATAATTAATTGAGAAAATCATTTAAAAATTGAAAAATAAGAGAATGTATTGGTTGACACAATGATTTTGCTGTCACTGCTTCTGAATAGTACAACCTTGTTTTCTATCAAATAAAATACTATTTTTTTTTTAATTATTCATTTTGTTTTACAAATTTTATGTCTTATTGGTTATGAGTTTTTTTTTTATAATTTACACTTTAGTAAACTATACTTATTTAATTGCCTGCTTTTAAATGAATCAATTTAAGCCCCTCCCCATCAACTTTTTTTTTTAAGTTCTGTTCATTATTAAAAATTTACTAAGTTTAGAAACAAATAACTTAGCATTCAAAATATTTCCCAATAAGGAGGTTTTTCTGGTGAAGAGTTATCATTTAAATGCAGATTACTGTTCTCATCTTTGTTGTTACAATATTTTGAATGTTTTGGCCTCCAGCCTTCATCAGGAACTTGTCAATGTAGCATTCAAGGAATAGTGCAAACACAAATTCAGTGGTAAATGAGTGAGCAATAACTTAGCAGTACTAAACAAAAACTAGATGAGATATCTCCAGAAATGGACAGTGGAATGAGAACAATCTAATTTCATAAATTAATGGGTTCAGTTTGAAATTCTCTGAAGGCTATCTATATAGACAAGCAGCTGATATAGACTGGATGGACTACAGCAGAAACATTGTGATAAAGGTGAGGGCAATAGTCCTAATGCAAATATGTTTATGCTAATGTAGTTCTTTTATTTTAATTCTAAAAAAAAATTTCTTGATTTTTTTTTGACAATGTTTAACTTTTGTATTAGTAAAAAAAAACAAACAAAAAACTGTGTCAGAAGGATGCTTATTCACTATTACAGTTTTTAAATCTCTCAGCAATGTTTATTTACAAGATTATAAAATACATGAACCAAATACAATGCAATATTTATTATTTACCTTTTAAAAAATATTACTATTTACCATTTTCTAAAGAAAAATATGAAACAAAATTTTTTTATTCAAAAATTTATAAAAAAAAAAAATTACAAAGTACATAAACCAACAATATTTGCAATAAAAATTACAAACATTCTGTAATTAAACAATAAAAACTTTATCCAATAAAATAGGGAGATATATGCTCAAAATATTGAGTGCTTGCAGTCTTGCTTAAAATTAAAAAAATGTTTGGTTTAGAGGATGCTCTCAAGAAGCTATTTTATGTGGCAAGAGCAAATGAAAAAAAAAGCCCAGAAAATGTATATTTTTTTCAATATTTTATACTAGTTACTTGTTAGGTGTTTATTTAAATTTTTTTTTCATGGACATTTTTATAAATTTATGAATGAAAAAATTTTAATATTTATTTTTTGGTAAAATGGTAAATAATAAATATTTCATTATAGTTGGTTCACATACTTTTATAATCTTGTAAATATAAAATTATTTTTATAAATAAGCAATTCAATAAGTAGTGTTTAATATCTTTGTTGCCAATTCTCAAGAATAAAGAAAATTCATAAATCCACTTTCATGTTTGGGTTTTATTAAAATTCCAATCATCATTTCTTAAAACATTGCTGAAGGACTGTTTAAAAAAAAAAAAAAAAAAAAAAAAAAAAAAAAAGAAAGTGTAATAGCAGTGTCAAGAGAATAACCATCCTTTTTAACACCATTTTTTTTTCAGGAACATTGCAAATATTTCTTCTCCAACTTAACCTCATCATTTACTAATTGGAAATGTGCTGTTAAACTTACTAGTATAGAAATTAATAAAGTAAGTTTTATTTTGAAGTGAAAATGTAAGAGGAAAATAGTTTGAACAGCATTTGCAAGTACTGAATTTTAAAAATGTGCTAAGTAAAAATTTCCTGAAGTAAGACCAAGTAAAAATTTCCTGAAGTAAGAATAAGTAAAAATTTGTTTTTCTCTTTGCACTTTAATTATTTATTTTGTATTACCCACCAAACCAGACTGTTAGACAAAAGCCCTCAAAGAGTAAAATAAGATAAAAAAATCTTTGATCAAATTAAAATATCAGTAAAATTTAAGGGATCTGTCAGTACATTATTTTTTTATTATTATTCTTAAGGAAAAAAACTTAAAACTTAACATTTGAGATATCCTGAATTTAAAGAATACCATTACCACAATGAATTTTTGTATGGAAAGAAAAATATGATATTTAAGATCTTTATCCTTAGAATTTTTTGTCCTGTAACTCGACATATGTTAATTCTATTTAAATAGCTGATAAGTGAAATATAATTTAAACTTAATATTGTTTTCTTTTAACAAGCATTTCTATTTACTGAATGATATGAGGTCAAGGTAGGAGAAAAAAAAAACAGTTGATTTTTGGGTTTTGTTATTTTAAATATTGTTTTGTACTTTATTTTTTTATAATCAAGGAAATAGCAATGTACAGTTTGTTAAGTGGATGTAGTGTAAAAGGCATATATATCTTTTTATTCAGTGAAAGATACAGCAACATCACAAGAATGAGTTTATTAGGAAGATTTAACAGATATCAGATTTTCTCTAACACTGAGAGGAACAAGAACAATCTACACTGTAACTTTAAAGTGTTCAGTTCAAATTTCCAAAGAGGGGGGCCAATTTTGATAAACATTTGGAGATTACAGAATAAAGTAGTCAAAATATTGTGAATAAAAACAACAAAGATGAGGACACTAGTCCAAATAAATAAATGCATTATAATTTTTCTTTACATAAGAATAAGGAAGATAAAAAAAAATTATCATTAATTGAATTTTTATTATGCTATAATTTAAGCAAAGGTTTTATTTTATTGTCCTACTTTGGACTTTAAATAAGATGGTTTTATACGGCATAGTGTTGGTCTGAACCTCCATATGCACTCACCTATAACATATATGGGATTATGAAACTGATAAACAATTGTTGAAGTAATTTTTCAATTTACAAAAGGAAAAAAATTCTATCCTTCCCCTTCTTTAGATTATAAATAAATTATTTCCACATAAGAAGCAGCAGAGCCTGTAAAGACAAAGGACTTCCTGTATATGAAATGCATTATTGTCCAACTTTAAGACATCAAGAAAATCATAAATGATAAATTAAAAATAGTGAATATCAACTAAGCATGAAATATAAAAATATCTTAACAAAAAAGATATTCTGAGAGAAACTCTTCATATATAGTTTGAAAAATAATGTTATTCTATAAGAAATTAGCCAGCTATACAAAATAAAACTTAAAACAACTTTATCATAATTTATGTTTAGTTTTAAAATTGGGAAATAAAAAAAATGAATTGAGATTATCAATCATCTAAAACATGGTAAAAAAAAAAAGTTGGCCAAAATGTATTTCTTTGAAATCAATAATTTGAATTTAGTAAGTAAAAAGCAACTAAAAGAAAATAAATTTTCCAAGCCAAGTGACATGAAAAACAAACTTAAAAATATAACCCGGAATTGTATCATTCCTCTTAAAAGCTTCTCTTCAGAAATTTCTTCAAATTGAAGAAAGGAATTGGATTGGAATAAGAAATTCTGTGTCATTCATTCATGTCTTCACAAAATCCGGTTTATTCTCCTATAAAGTAGAACAATGTAAATACTTCAGAGAAAACTAAGTTCTTTTTGTTTTTTATTAAACAAATGCAATTACTGAATTATATGCTAAGTAACTTCCAATTTGCTTACAACTGAAAAATTGTACAATTTTAAATAACAAATAATCTACACAATTTTTAGAAATAAATATATGTAAGTTCCATTATATTTTAACCAAAAATTATTTCCTTGTTATGTTGAGAGTAGATTAATGTTTTGGCAATAAGAAAACACTACCTCAGTTGGTTTCCCTGCATAATCATAGCTTAATAGACCTTCCCAATCCTTGAGTGTAATGGAAAAAAAAAGAAAGAAAGAAAAGAGAAAAAAGAAGTGTAAAATAAATAGTCAAAAAGAATGCAAGCTTGAAGTTTAGACAAGAGAAACCTAAGCAGACAATAATTACATAATCATTATTACAGTTCTCAAAGTACAAACAATAAAATCAGCTTCTTAGGTAACAAACTTTTAAAGCAAAACATTAACAAGTTTCTTTAATAGAAATTATAAGCATTTACTGGAGGGACAGTTAATTTTTCCAATAAACACAAGCAAAAATTAATAAGGATTTCATTACACATTTTTTTTTTTATAAACTTACTTGAGTTTAATATTGAACTTTACAGTAAAGCTAAAATAAATGCATTGTTAAGTTGTACTTTATATAATTACTCAACTGTAAATATTTTTAGGCAGGATAGTAAGGATTAGTTGCTTATTAAAATATTGAAAGAAAAGTTTGTATTGATAAAGTTTTAAATGGAAATTCATTATAAATTTTGAAAGATAGTGCTATTCAATATTCTTTGCCATATTGAAATGTCCAATTTTTTAAGCAAGAAATTTTACACAAGATTTTTATAGATAATATATTTGTTTTTTTTAATATTAGAAAACTTTTGACAGTTTTAACTTCGATTTATAAAAACATGAAATGTAACTTGCAAAAGATACAATTATTCCATTTGCATTTAACAAAAGCATTGATTATGTCTTCTGAATTAGAAAATAAAAATCAATCCAAATCAATGTAATCCTAAAAACTCAACTTATAGTTGATAGATTTTAACATCTGTATCATAACAATTCTATTTTATAAAAAATTTATTAAAATCTCTTTACATTCAATGTTAAAAAAAAAAAAAAAAAAAAAAAAAAAAAAAGCTTACAGGAAATGATTTTTAGTTTAATTTTACTTATTACCGTATATACTCACATTGTATAATGTAACTTTTGAAGACCTAATTTTGAAACTAATTTTAAGGGTGTCATATAGTGTACAAGATATAAATTTAGCATATGTACTGCTGGCCCTGGCTATGCCATTGAACAAACCATAAATCCCTTTACTGTAGTCAAAAGTATCAATGTATTTAAAATAAATATTGCATGTTACATGAGTATATACGGTACACAAAATGATTTATAATCATATGTTCTTTCTGTGGCTAACTCCATTATCTGGAAATACTTTTTCTGATGAATGAATATAAAAAAAAAAAATCTGACTCGAATAAATACTGGCTTTATTAGTATGCAAGAAGTACTTTATTTTTTCCATCTAAATATTTATACCCTAAAAACAATTATAGAAATTCTAGCTTTATCCTATATAAATAATACAAAATGGGTCTCTTGGCTAAACTAACAATTGAAAAATGATTACTGGTTGCTGTGAAATGATTTATAGTGATTCCAAAGAATTTACTAAAATAAACATTAAATACAGTAAAATAATAAGCTTACCTCAAATGGTAAAGATGATGTGTTAAAACCTTGGAAGAATTTCATCAGTTGTGAACGATCTTGGTGATCTGAAATCAGAAAATACATTCAATCATCAGCTATTATACAATGTTAAGAAATATTCTCTTTTTTTTAGAATTTTTCTTAACAGTTGTTGATACGCTAACCTGTGATAATAATTACAAATAATAATATGGATTTGCATTGTAATGTAAGACAGAACCTACATTAGACACATCTAAATAAATCAATTAAAATAACAGAAAAATATTAGGCATTACTCTTATTAATATTGACTGTATTAATTTCCATTTATAAGAATAAATATGTTACCTTTGTCTATTAAAGTTGTTTTTTTTAAGGCTGTATTCAATCTAAAATATTTCAGATCAATTTATTTTACATTTGCATTCTGAGTATCAATAACAAATTTGATTTTAAAAATTGAAATATATTAATATAGGTATCTCCATGAGATTGCTGGAAAATGAGCATAGCATGATAAAAACGGCCTTAAACTTGACAAAAGCAAAATTTTATCATCAAAATGTTTACGTTACTATTAAGAGGAAAGAAAGTATTTTTTAATTATTTTAAAAAAAAAATTTTCCGTCTTAGAACATTCTAACTTTTGATTAAAAAAAAAAACAAAAAAAACAAAAAAACCTTTGTTTCTCTTCATTGGCGGAAGTACTAAATAACATAGCAAATTTTTGTGCATTCTTTTTTTTTTTTTTAAGATGACAGACATTAATTTTGAAAATCTTGCAAAAATAAAACCTCCCCCATAAATAATTTTATGAAAACTCTAGAAATTCAATGCTGAAGTCATTATATTAGTTAAAAACACAAGGCTTTGAGGAAAGTAAATCAGGTTTTGTTTTTTTGTTTTTTAAAATCAGACCACATCTACCTAAAAATTAGCTCTGAAATGTAACATGCAAAACTCAATAAAACAAAGATATTTAATTTCAAATGTTTTTAGTTGCTTTTAGTTATTTTTATGAATATGCATAATATTGTCTGAAGACAAAAAACTTTTTTGATGAAAAATGAATTTGTAAAAGAATTATTTCTTAAATTTTTTTATTATTTTTATATTAAAGTTGCTAAATATTGTAAAATTAGTGGAAATAGTGAATCCTTTACTTAATTGTTTTATTAAGTAGATATATCTGTACAGATTATAAATTGCACAAGCCTTTTACAATCAACAAGCCTCCAGTTTAAAAAAAAAAAAAAATTTTTTTTACTGTTCCTTGACTTTTGTGTAAAAAAACAAAAACAGCTGTAATTCAAATGTACAGAAGCCCGGAAGAAACATGATACAATAAAAACATCACATGATTTGATTTTGTATATAAATGTTGTTTGGTGCTGTTAACTGCCTTTACATTTTTTACATTTACATTGGGTGAAGCACAAAAATTTCATGAAAGTCTGATACCAGTTGCATTGAATTTCTAAACCTCTGTTCTTACTTGGCTATGAAAAATAAAATAAAAAGTGTATTTGATTATATAACTATTAGAAAAAAAATGCCTTTTCAACATTGTCATAACTTAAGATTAAAAAAATTAACAAAAGAGAAAAAATGTATAGCATTTCAACTTATAAGGTTACCTACAATGTATTATGAAATTTATATAATCTTAGTTTTATATTATCTCAGTTATGTCATTTTTCCATAAATGAAATATCAAAATTAATAATAAAATTAGTGGAAATTCAAATAATACTGTAAAATGTAATAAATGTACATAAAATATACACTACTGATAATATTTCATAAGAAACGTAACTAATTAATTAGATACCTTTCTTATGAAATTTTATCTCACTCTTCAAGTCTTATTTAATTTTTTTTTTTATAGTATTATATTTTTCCATAAAGCATCATAAACATAAAGGTAAAAGTTAAGTACCAAAAAAACAAGGTTAGAGCGTTGATAGTTTTCCTTAAAAATAACGAGGTAATTAAGTTGGTTCACATAAAGCTAAACTATGTCACTTCTGACCTTTCGTACAATAACTTTTCCTCGTGGAAGATGTCAGTGCATAGTGAAATCATCACATTACTTGTCAATCAACACCACTGTTAAGACCGGCTTTCTCTTATTTTAAAAATACATTTTTCAGTGCAGGAAGCAAGTAATGTTTGTTTCAAAATATATTAAATAAACTTTATAATTTCAAATTTTCTTAAATTAAATTTTGAAAAAATTATAATTGATTTTTAAAAAAATTTTAATGAGAATTTCACTTTTGTAAACAAAAGTGAAAGAAATGGCTGATGACTGATTTTGTGTCAAATTTTCTGATTCAAAAAAAAAAAAAAAAAAAATAAATAAATTTTTCAACGAAAATTTTGGATGTTCTAGAAATGATTAAAAATGTAAAAAAATATTAAAAAAAATACTTTGATCTTTCCACTTGATAACATTTAGGCAGTAAAAAATTATTTTCATCAAGTTTAAGGACTTTTTATTCATGCTATGCTATTTTTTATCGATCTCACGGAGATACCTATATTAATATAAATTCACACTTATTTATCTTTAATATACAATGATTTTATAACAGGTGTTTAGGTTATTGTAGCAAATTCACCACTGTATCAGGAATTTGAAGACAACAAGAGTTAAGTATTTTAAAATTCACACACAAATAAAAAGCACTTCTGATAGTGAAATAATATTCAAGAAGTACAAGCATTGCATTACAATGATGTTTACCCACAATCTAAAATGATTTTTTAAAAAATAATGTTAATGTTAAGAATGTTGTGTGTGTGTGTGTGTGTGTGTGTGTGTGAATATTATGTTTGTGAGATTAAAAACATGGGTATATATGATGTTGCTAAAAGTTTTACACCAAAAGAACCAATCATCAGACCTTTGACAACTTTCTGGTAAATAAATGTTTGTTGTTATTTTTCTGTTTATTCAGAAAAACAAATTACATTAATGGAATACACAAAATTTTTCAAATGACCAATTTGATAAATTAAAAAAATCTCATGAATTTATTTTACAGACTGGTGAGTATTATATATATATATATATATATATATATATATATATATATATATATATATATACATCATTTGAAAAAACTTAATTGTTTTGCTCACAACTGAAAAATGAATTATTCATTCCAATAATCAATGCCCATTTCCAATGGTTTTTTTTCCTTCAGGAAATATAATTGCTATAACTATCTTCAAGATTGCTAAAAATTTAGCTCATTTGAAACTATTTTGGTTTCAAGCAGAATTGATTCAACAATATTAAGTTTGCAAATTGTGTGTGAGACAGCTTTTCTGATTATACTTCATATATGAACATTATTTTAAAATATAGATATCAGTCAATTTCAATAGAAATTCATTTGCAGCTACTTTATATAACAAATCTGTATTTTAAAAGTAATCAATCTAAAATTTGTTAAAATTTTAGAATAAGATCTACAATTAAAATTAAAGGCAAATA